AACGTGTACAATTTGATCAATACAAACTATCAATTCTTAAATAAAACGATCTTTGAGATAGCACAAAACAGAATTACGTTGCCATAAAGTGCTACAACATGAGCCTTCACGGGAACTAATAAACATTGGTTCCAGAGATTGGAAATTCAATTTTCCGACATTGACAGATATGACAATAAAAACTGCGTCTTTCACCCATTATAATTGCCTGATAGTGCTTTTTGATTGATCGTTACAGTTCTCTAATTGTACTACGGAGCATCGCAGTTGTCGGCAATTCGTTCATGCACGCACACTTTGATATATACGGTGAGCCTTCGGGAGTGAAATAGAACTTACCTGTGCATTTCGGAGAGAAACCTTGCCTTGCAGCCTCAAACATCGACCAATGAATGAATCGCATAGAAAGAAGTACAATATCCAAAACAGTAAACGCATCATAAGATGCAGTCACCATAGCTACCTCTTCTTTTTGCCAGACAATGTTCTGAATTAATCTTCACCAATCGTTACTATAGAAACCGCTGAAGATAAGCCATCATCTGACAGAAATGAGATATTTCTTGCCTTTCCAATAACAGGGAGTTCAATTTTTGTATGTAGAAAACACCCAGATCTTGTTTTAATCAAGAAAATGTATTCATGAAAAAAAAGGGATTTTGTTTCCACAATTCAATATTCTGCATCGGGCACAGACTGGAAGATTGAAAGCGTAACATGACTGTCAAGAAAGTTCGCTTCACAAATAGTCGTACAGCTGTAGTTTCACGGCGGCATGTCGACCAACAGTCACCAAAGTTTGCACTGGATGAAACAAATATAGCCATTACAACAACAAATAGTTGTTCCATTTTATTAGAACGCTGTTCACTCTCGCTTTTCTGAAAATAGTATTCATAATATAGTTAATCAAAATACGGCAAGAAATTCCACGTCTACATGTAAGAGTAATAAACATAGCGGTTTTCAGCAATGCTTATTTCCATATATCGGAAGCGTGACGGCGCTATAAATACACTGGCAGGTAATTAACATGCTCTATGTTTGACTTGGCGATCATCGACCATAAACAAAACTCGATGAACTGCAATCCACGTATAGCAGGTTTGTGATGTTCACCCTCATTAAGATGCATTCCCACAGTTCAAACTCTGAACTGTATACATGTATATGGCATCTCAAATTGTTGTTGAATTCCCACGTGTGGAGATCCTATTGGGATTCAGTATTACCCAGTCTACATTGCTATAACATTTGTAGCAAACATCCTAAGGAAAACCATGGTTCAAGAATTTGTTCCATTTCATAATTAACATACATAATTCGTTTTATATCGCCCCCTCGAAAAAAATGTTGGGGGAGTCACCCCTCCAAAATCAAGCTGAAACCCTTTGTGTCAGCAAAATTTTCCCCTCAAAATGCAGAATTGAAAAAAAATAGATAAATAAACTTGCATAAATGTAAATTAAATGAGAAAATGTTATCTTTTCTGACAATAATGGTCTGTCCATTATCTAGACAAGTATGAGTTTTGAAACATTGTCAAATTTCCAACACTACTAAAATTGCTCTTGTACAAAAACTTGACATGTATAATGTATATAACTAATTTTAATCAATCACAATCTCAGACATTTCCCACCAGTATGAAAACACTGTAGGCAAGGGAAACCATGGAATACTAACTGAAAATGAATTCTGGGTCAGAAGAATGTTTCTGATAATACTTGATAAACTACATATAGTCCCAGGATGCAATGGTTTGTGAGTGAACTCTAATTATGTCATGTGACCAGCACAGAATGTGAATGGATTGTGTACAATGCTTAGCAAATTTATCCATACAGGAAATGATTCTCTAACTTATTGCGTTTCCACAATGAATTTGTTAAACAAAATATACATCATAACATTTTCAAGAATTACTTTTATGAACATATCTAGCATACAAGTTTTAATTCATTTGTGTATTTAACAACCAAGCATACTTTACACTATCATCAAATTCCATGAACCTACCAGCAGATGGCAAACCATTTTGTGAACTAAATACTACAGTAATTCCTAGGTCATCAACTGTAACAGACTGTTATCAAATCTATTAGAATGAAATCAATATTTCAGAAGCCAACAGCTGGGGTGTAGAAAAACAATGTTATCTACACTACGTGGTATTGCTATGGCATAGGTGAGAATAATGTATACCAGAGTACAAATCTATGTTCAGGTTTCTGTGTTATATGTGATGTACATCACCCTGAATACATCATCAATTCTTGAATTGTTTTCTCCGAGTGTGTAGCTGATAAACCCTCTCACAAGTTTTTCTGTGAAATGATTGCTTTGAAATACTGCTGAATGATTTTTAAGAATTTATAGTTTTTGGTACGAATCTGTGACACTATACATAATCATGCATGATTTACAGATGATAATCTCTGAATGTACTTTAATACAATGCAATGCAGTACTAGCAAATTAAAAGCATGGCATTTCAAGCAGTACTCCTATATGGGACGGTGATTGACCCAGACCACTTTTAGAGTATTGTCCTACTTTTAAACCACCTATTAACAACTGAATGGGTATCATTATCCAGCCAAAGTGGACAAAGTGTTCTTTTAATAACAGAGGGTTAATTGAGAGCACAAATAATATCCATGGTATTCTACACCAATACTGGTACATATAATTAACTTGATCTTGCCAATTGGATTTCATTATTGCAAAGTAAGAGTGCATTGTCAAAAACATGTTACTGCACTCAGAAAGGTCAAATGTTAAGGACATCTATGCATTTGGATGATAACATCAACAAAAGCATCCGTTTTCTATTCAATTTCCCATTACAGCTCTCATGAAACACCCATAATGAGAAATGTGATAAACTTTCAGTTTACACAATAAATATGATTAGTTTATTATCAGGAAATTTGATTTTTCCCTTTAAGTGGACAGATGTGTTCAGTAAATTTTAAATCAACGAGATTTTCTACTGTTGCCAGGCAACAGATCTGGATTTAGAAACGTATTATTTTAAGATAAAACTATCAGTTTGATGCCGGAAATCCGCAGGACTTCAATGCCTCGTAAACCACCCCCAAAATGGCAAAAGAAAAGCAGTAATCCCTGGTAGGAGTAAATATATCGGTACTGTAAGCATTCTACATTCATAAAGGTCACAAGAGATATTTACGCAAGATTAAATTGTGCGAAATACAATCTGTACATGTAAATACTACACAGATATAAATATGACAGTTGGCTATTAAAAATCATGTCATGTTTAAAATATAAACTCCTATTTAATAGCACACTTTTGGACAAACTAGTACATGTGGCTTTATATCATTTATATGCTTTATACTAGTAAAGATTATTAGAGTACGAGAAACCCAAACACAGGACGTTTGCTTTCTCAATCTAAATTTATTAGTTTCACTAACTAAAACGAGCAGGTCAACCGACACAAATAGTAAAAGCTTTCTTGACAGTGTACGTGCCAGCGGGAAATGTGGGATTAACTTAATTTTAGTAGCGCTTGAAGAAACCGAAGTACTATATGGGATGTGGTTAAGAGATTGTTGTATATATTGTATATATCGGTATTCAGATATCAAAGTGCCCAGCTCAAGACAACCATGTTTTTTTTGCATTATTTCATTTGTTCTTCATCACACACAAAAATCAATTTGTATACCTAATTCTCGCAAAGTGACATACATTAGTAATATGATTTTGATTCAAAAAGAAGATCACTGAACTTTTATTAAATATGCAGATATTTGGAGGGGTGGGGGCTATACCCCATTAGGGGAGGAATAATTACAACAATTAGTTATCATAATATTATAAATTCATTAAAAAACATGTTTCCCAATTGCTATATTGAACTTTTGACATTTCAACACATGTGATGATTTTTAGATATGTTTGTCAGATATTTGTTTACATTAGGTGGAAAGTGATGTATTTCTATGGAATCCTGGATGACCTTCTGTCTGATTCACTGCCATCGAGTAACCACTTTGAATTCTTGAGGGCGATCATATTCAGAGTACAGCTAACATTTTCAATCCTGAAATAATATAAAACTGAAGATTTATTTTGACCAAATTCATTGACTTTTCAATAAGCGTATTTTGCAGTGGTTTAGGAATTTTTAATTAATTTAATTAGTTTAATTTTTGACCAGACATAGGCTACAGGTCTTGAATGACACTTTTGAAAAAACAGTATGCAGGAATATTTTGAAAACAGAAGCCAATTCTCAGAAGTAATTTCTCATTGAAAAACATCTGTTTATAATCAGCAACAAACCAGTGAACACAGAGAATGCCTAATTTTAACATATTCATTGGAAACATGCAAGATTTACTGTCATGAATACATACAAATCTTATCACATCCGACGGACCGACAAGTACATCACAAATGCAGACACTTAAGCCCTTGCATATCAATGTTTTTTCACTGCAAACAAAGTCCTGAATTAACCAGGGAATTTAACCGCAGGTTTCTAAAGTATAGAACACCCTTATTTATCATTTCAAGAAGTCTAGCTTAATGCAGTTTTCATTACGAAGGGTTTAGACAACGCATGATGATATATTAATCAAGCATAATAACTCAACTGAGAAGAAAGTCACATACCAAAAGGGTCACGCAAAATAAATATCTTGAGACACTACCGGTAATTTATATTTTGAGTTATGACTAATGTAAACATCTATTCTTTATAAAAATCAGAAGCATGTGTTAAAAAACCCGAGTTGTAAATGACACTTAAGTACTGCATGCATCAATAATTCAGTACAGAATGTATAGTTGTAACAGACTAGTACACATTATATAACACAGTACTGCCACATGACATGTCCACCATATTTATCATTACAAGAAAAAAAGAAAGTAAATCTTGATTATGACACAGAGGGCAATATACATGTAGGGTATATACTAGTATATTTCTTAAAAATACAAAAATAATAGCACCCAAGGAAAATACCTCAAAGAATACCATGCACTGCCACAGAGATCATATTGCACTTGGGGTTAGAATCCACTGAAAACTGGAACAGGTTTCTGTGGGCCGTAAAAAAGTTGAAATATCAAAGATCCAAAATAGGTAGTTCTCAACCACATATACATTTCATATAAATCAATCTTGCGCTGGGTGAACATCTCTCTCACTCGTATTTTAGTACGGGAAACCCAGCTGTCACAACTTTTCAACTGGTGATTACTTAAAGCTCTGACACAGCATCGTGACATGTTGATGAACGAGCTTGCATTTGCACGTGTCTGGAGTGTCCATTCGATACCACGTAGCAGATCATTGGTCTTCAGCAATAGTAACATCTGACGAGGTACATTGTTGAGTAGTTCTGATATCTGTGGCAAGTAAACAGTAGCATACTCCTTGATCTCATCCGACTAGAATAAAAAATATAACACAAGAAAAACATATACAAGTTTACTGGTCTGAGATATATCATATTTTCTTTATTAAAAGCAGAAATATCATGTTGAACACTCACACAGAACACAGAATTTCTTGATCATTATGTTATTAAAAAATATAAAAACCTACACAATTTAATAATTTTTATAGTGTCTTATTGATGTGCTTAGAAATCTCATCAAGGCCTTGTTCTGAAACTGACAAGCATATTTGATAAAAATTGCCGAATACTGGTGTATAGCCTGGCTTAACAGCGCCCTCTATAGACGACTAACCTCTGCATCTGTCTGTTCCAATTCACCAATGCCAGTTGTGACAGCATTCCAGGACCTAGCTGTTAACACACAGGCAAGCAGACCATACAGCTGACCAGCACCTAATGCTTCGCTGTATTTCTTGATACCTTCAATGTCAGCATTGATCAAACTCTGCCACATCATTGCATAGTTTAGACGGAAATCATCAGTCATCACCTATGGCAAAATACAAAGGTTGTGCAGCACAACACAAATCTTTTGCAAATATCTTTTCTATATTTTCTATTTTGTTTCATATATAGTAAATAATACCGGAACCCCTAGACTAGACTGAAATGAAATGTTGATTTGACCCCTAGACTATACTGAAAAAAAATGTTGATTTGACCCCTAGACTAGACTG